CCTTGTTAATTTGGTTAAAAAGAATTAACCTCTTGATATGGTTCTGTGGGAGACTTGTGGGTTGGTAATAAGCAGAATCACTAAACATGGCCAGTGTAGCTTGGACAAGTTCAGCGTGTCACTGAACTTGGGAGGAAGGGCCTTGACCCAAGCTCCGGATCATTCATAGAACACCTTATCTGCAGGTGGCCCACACAGAAGCACTGGGACATCATTCCAGCTGTTGTTAAAAGGCAGATCCTGTCTGTCAGATGTAGCCCCTTTTCCAGAAAGTAAAGTGGTTCTCCTATCACCAGACCTTGTCAAAAAGGGGAATAGAAAGAGACATTGGACATGGTTTCTGGTGACAAGATACCACGCTACTTCACATTGGTGTTTTGGTTTTTGTTTATTTGTTCTCAGAGGGATACCTACACACCGAAGTTGGGTGAGGAAGATTCGTTTTGCTCCTGGTAAAGGAAACCAAAAATTAATAGCAATGTACAATGATGGAGCTGAAGTGTGGGATACTAAAGAGGTAGGCCCAGCTCCATGAGGGTACACTGCAGTGAAGCTGCTGCTCACAGGAACTATATATTTCTTTCTTCCTTCTGATTTAGAAATGAAAACTATATAATGGGTTTGTCAAGCTTCTTAAAACAATTTTCTTTTTTAAAAATTTTTCCTTTATAATAATTCTGTTCTAAATAAAGGTGACAGCCCAGCAGATTGTTTTTTAATGTTCTCACTATCTTTGAGTCCCTTAAAATGCAGTCTGCATGTGGAGGATAGATTACCAAAGACTGTTCAGTTTTAAACTTGCACTGGGCCTTTGCCACAGGCACTGTCTTTCCTTGACCATTTAATCCAGAATGATAAACATCTTCCTTTTCTTTCTGAAAGTGACAACCAAATTCACTCTTGAAGGTTCAGATGGTGAGCAGTTTAAGAAGCGGGAGAAATGTGACCTTTCGGATATTGGACGTGGACTGGTGTACGTCAGATAAAGTGATCTTGGCATCAGATGATGGGTGTATCAGAGTCCTGGAGATGTCCATGAAGTCTACGTGTTTCAGAATGGACGAGCAAGAGTTAACTGGTATGGAATTCTAATGAAAGGGTGCTTTGAAACCTGGCTTTATTTTGCGCATGCTACTGTCTTCTGGGAGATAGAGCTGCTTCTGTTTCATTTCAATCTTACTTTCTAAGAATCTGAGTTTTAGAAAATCTGTTAGCTTAAAGCTTGAGTGTTTTTACTGCTGAGAAGCCAGACTCCTTTGTAACTGCAGACGTCAGTCATTCCGCACTCTGGTTTGGCAAGTGCCCGTTCTTTGACCCTTTTCTGAGTGCTTTGTCAAAAGATCAAAGATGTTTACATTTACAAAAATGACTTATTCAGAATTCAGGAGAACTCATCAGAGGACATGAATCTAGTGGTAAGGTTCTGCTGGCTTTTTAATAATGAGCCTTATATCTTTTGCAACTATATATCATTGAAAAATCACTTTGGAGAGTGTTCCGAATATCCTGAACTTTGATGTCTATCTTATGACTTGTTAAATGGCCAGTCAAAATAAAATGAGATGGTCGTGCCTTTTACCCTTTTTTGTATGGTTGTCTCGAGATTCCTTTTTACCAGACTGAAAAATATTTTAGTAAAAATAACCCCGTAAGTGACTTTAAAAAAAGAATGAGGAGATTGTGAATGCACTCATCTCTCAGTTTGAAAGGCAGCTTTTGTCTGATGAAATGCAGTGTTCATCCTTGGAGGCTGCTTTGGGATGGAGACAGACACCCTGATCCTAACTGAAGCAAAGCAGGAAACTTCCCACGTTCAGTATTCTCCAAGACTACCTTTGGTACATGCTCCAGCCTGTCTGATCTGTAACAAATTTCATAAGAGACTTGTTTTGGTCATTTACTGAATTTCAGTGTGGAATTGTCAGTTCTGGCAATTGTCTGTACCTTTTCTGTGGAGTCAAACTTTGGCACATTCAGAGACAGTAGTGTTTTGAAAAACCTGCCCTTTCATGTTGGGTTCATGCTTGAGGCACAATGAAGTTGCTGCTGATGCTGGCCGGGCCACCTTTAACTTATGCTAGGTGTGCTTTCATTTTTGTCACTGCCCCACCCCTGCTGCTGTATTCATGTCCCACCATTTCTTACTGTGTAACTCTGACTGCCATCTGCTGAGGGCAGGAGTTGGGCATTGCATTCCTGTGTCTCCCCTGGAGACATTTGCCAGCTCTGCAGCAGTAGCAAGGCCTCCTCCCTGAGAAGGACAGCATTGATTCAATTTTAAACCTAAAGGTATTGAGGAAATTGAGGGAACTTCAAGAATGATTTTTCTTTTTATTTAGTTACAGTTCTAGGTAAAGAGATGTGCAAATATAATCTAAATGTTTGAAAAGTTTTTCTTTCACTTTTAATTTAAAATTTGAATCTAAAAACCCCCAAGCCAAGGTAGCTTGTTCTTAAATTAAACTGACTGCAGAATTGGAGCTCATCATTAACCCATGTTTGATACCGTGCTTGAACATCTGAACCTGCAGCCAGATTTTAGATTGCATTTTTCTTTTAAAGCTTTGCTAACATTAAAAAGAAAACAAAAATCATTCCTATCCAGTCTCTAGTGGTGCAGCCTCAGCCAGTAAGGAAAAAATTTTTAAATAGTAATGGGGAAAGGTCAATAAAATTGTGCATACATTTCACAAATTGAACTTGAAACTCAGAACAACACTCAGTAAATGTTAAAGAATAAAAACTGGTGATAGTGTAAATATGGAATTAGGAAAAAGAGATTGTGTTTACCTCTAAATACATGCTGATTTAGTCCTGGAAAAAGTATATTTGATATAATACATTTCTATTCTTGGGAATTAGAGATGTATTTTGGACTTAGTGATGTGGGATAAAAATAAAATCATTGTAGGTCACATACGTTGACATAGTCAATATATTTTCTTCAGTCCTCCTTGATAACAAGTGGAAAATGTCATAAAATACTGATTCAAGTCTATTTTCTTAGAACAGCTTAGATAGTCCCCTTCCACCCTGCCCCCCATTCACATTTCTCACCCCCCCCCCCCCAGTAAAGGGGGAGGGCAGACAAACGTAGAAGACTGGCTCCCTTGTTTTTGAGTTGGAGAACCCTTCTTGCCTGCTCCCTTATTTTCAGGGGCATAAAATGGCATTAAAAAAATCTTAATGTTTTTTTTTAGTAGCGTCTAAAAGGAATTCAAGAGTATGAGACTTGTTTAATAACATTCTAGTATGATGCAGTTTCCTCACACTTTAAATAGCATCAGCATCGTGTCAGAGACTGTTCAACCTAACTTCCTCCCCAGCTGTTTGGGCCACTGCTGAACACATTTTTCCTCAGTGAGCACATATAGAAAGAAGCTTTCTAAAATCAGATACATACACGAACCTCTCCTCTATGTCTGCCTCAGTTTTCCATGGTCATTTCCAAGAGTTTTCATTTGGGACATTTGAAAAAGTTGTCATAACTTATGAGTATGCAGAGGTCCAGGGATGCTAAACAACATGCAAAGCATGGAACAATCTGGACAAGGAAGAATTTGTCCTGCCCGGGGGCCGGCCCCGTGGCCAAGTGGTTAAGTTTGCGCGCTCCGCTGCAGGCGGCCCAGTGTTTCATCAGTTCGAATCCTGGGTGCAGACATGGCACCGCTCATCGAGCCACGCTGAGGTGGCATCCCACGTGCCACAACTAGAAGGACCCACAACTAAGAATATATACAACTATGTACTGGGGGGCTTTGGGGAGAAAAAGGAAAAAAAAAAAAATTTTGTTCTGCCCAAAAAGTCAATAGGGTCCCTTGTCTCTCTTTGTCCCCGCTCATTGCATCACAGTCAACAAAATCACCAGAGCTGAGTCCTCTCCTTCCCGAATTGCCTGCTCCCCTTGACATTGGCTCCCTCCAAGTGGCGGAGTCACTTTTCTGCTTTTCTTCTTGGCTCTTCAGTTTCTAATTTCCTGCATTGCTGTCAGATAGGCAGCTAACACCTGGGCATGATTAACACCTCAGATAGCATAGCCCAGACTAAGCAGAATGTGTCTAAGAGAAGTAGCGATGATGCCAACTGCCTTTTCATTCTAATTGTGTAATTTTCCAGAAGTGAATGAGCTCTTGTAGGTGAGTTTCTCCAGCTGTGAGATGATCGCCTGTTACTCTTTCATGGCTAATCTTTGCTCTGGAGAAGAAACTTTTAAATTCATTAAAGGGTAGGAAGTAATAGAGTTTACTTTCAATTTGTTAAATGCTCATCGGTATGCTATCAACAATATTTTGCTTTGGAGAAATAACACATATTTGTTTTTAAAAATCAGACATTTCCCTCAGTTTACTCAGACTTAGTAAATGTTGTCTTGTTCACATTACATAAAAACCCTGGAGTGCTGCTTTCTAGGAAGATTCTCTTGTGTCTTTTCATTGTCCGTTGATTAAGAAACTACCACGTAGCATAGAAACTTTCTTGAACCATTCTGAGTTTAATTTGTACTGCTAACGTTTTGTTCTCTGACATGTACTATTTACAAACATTTTGTGACCTAATGCCAGCAGCTACTACAGTCTGAAAGTGAAAGGGGCTGACTTGAAAATATGAGGATCATATGGTTGGCCATCTGTTAGGGATGAATAGAAACAAAGAACTTAGGTAGACTAACCACCTTTATCCCTTCCGGGGCTGATTTAATAGTTCTGCAGGTAGGTAGAAAAGCCTCACTCTTGACAGGTACTTCATGCCTTCCTTTACAACCTAGGTACAAAAGAAAAGATAAATTTGACTAAATGGAAAAAATTTTTTCTAAAAAAACTTTCATTGCAAAAGAGACTATAAGCAAAACAAAATACAAATGATAGGGAGAAAATATTTTGTAAGTCATTAACAGACTGTCCAAAAGAGAGAAAAAGATATACAAATAGCCCTTAAACATATGAAAAGATGCTCAACTTTATCCACAATAAGAAAAATTCAAATTAAAACCATGGTAAAGTGCTTGCTTCAGCAGCACACAGTAAAATTGGAACGATACAGAGAAGATTAGATGGCCCCTGTGTGAGGATGACATGCAAATTCATGCAGTGTTCCATATCTTTGAGAAGTCACTGTAGACAAAGGAGGCCAGAAAAGCCTTCTGGGAAAGCCAGAGCAGCAGGAGGCTTGCAAAGATTTGCTTAAAATTTCACCAAGCAGTACACTTCAGATTTGTGTGGTGTGCTGTCTCCCTTCTCTGCCTCCTTTTCTCCACAGCACTTCACACCATCTGACATCCTATACGTTTCATTTACCCATCTTGTTTTGCTCCCCAAATAGAACTGTACGCTCCACAAGGCTGAGATTTGGGGTTGTTTTGTTCATTGCTGTATCTCCAGAGCCTGGAACATAGTAGGTGTTGATAAATGGTTGTTGAATGATTGAGTGAAAAAAACCCTACACTGAGAAACTGTTTCTCACTTGTTAGATTAACAGAAATTCAAGAGCTTGAAAATACACTTTGTTGCATGGCTATGAGGAAACAAGCATTCTCATACACTGCTCACAGAGTAATCCCTGTAGGAAGGAATTTGGCGACATCTAACAAAGCTCCTATGCCTCTTTCCTCAGCAGGCCTCTGCTAAGAATTTACCTTCCATGTACCTCCACACATAGGACCATAGCAGAATTTTGGAAAGAGTAACTACTTGTCCATAGAAACTGGTTGAATAAATTTGGGAACCTCTGCACAATGAAACAATCTATGCAGCAGTAAAGTAGAATGAGGAATAGCTCTGTGAACTGACATAGAGTGCTATCTGGGATATGTGTAAGTGAAAAATGCAAGTGTATTAGAGTGGCGACAGTCTGTGTATGCATTTACTTACTTTCCAGAAAGAATAATCCAGAAACTAAAGAAAATGGTTATGGATAGGAGGTAGGAAGATGAGGAGAGTGGGAATAGGACTGAAACTTCTCTGAGTATACCTTTATTCTATAGTTTCAACTTTTGAACCATTTAAATGTTTTACATATTCAAAAAATACAATGAAAACAAGAAGGATGAAAGAAAAAGCAAACCCTAAAACTGAACACAAGAAACAGTTGAACTTGGGGCCAGCCCGATGGCATGGTGGTTGGGTTTGCGCACTCCTGCTTCATCAGCCGAGGGTTCGCAAGTTTGGATCCCAGGTGCAGACCTGCATGCTGCTCATTGGGCTGTGCTGTGGTGGCATCCCACATACAAAATGGAGGAGGATTGGCACAGATGTTGGCTTGGCAACAGTCTTCCTCATGCAGAAAAGAAAAGAAACAGTTGAACTTAACAGTACAACCGATTGGTACCATAACCACACAAACGGAAGTCTCACTGTGCACCTTAGCATTTTATATTCTGAGAAAAAGAGCAGTTGCAGAGGAATTTTGAACTTTATGTTTGAGTAGTTAACAGTGGCTCTAATAATTCTGAAACTGTTTTGTGCATATTACAGGCTGGAACAAACTAGTAAATAAATTGCAATTTGGGGGAACTAGGATTCCTGCTGAGGGAAAAGGGAGACATAAGTGGAGTAGGAGGTGATGAGGAGGAGCATTCCTGGACTGGGTTTGAATTGGAGGGGCCAGTATAAATTCATGACTTTTGAAAGAAAATGTATTTTCTGGCTCTGTACACTAATTTAAGGCCTAGAAGCAATGACATTTCAATGGCAATGAGCAGTCTTAGCACCCAGATGTTGGTTTATAAATTCCATTTCCTGACTGAAAAGAACCAGGGCTCCTTAGACAGTTTGTTCCAGAACAGAGGCAGAAAATGTGCAAGATGAGTCAGAAATTAAGGAGGGGTTGAAAAACCAATGACAACCTATCATAAGGATACAGAAACCAGCTTCGAGGGACTTCCATTATCAAATCTGGGGCAGCCTGGGCGTCACAAGAATACTTGTAGTATTGATATCAGTGTTGATTTTTTTAAAAACAGTCTATCATTCCATAGTAATATTCAAAGAGAGAGAAGGGGATGTGGGCAAGAAGAGAAAGCTCATGTGTACAGAAGAGTGATGGCTGATAAATGTAGACAGAATTAGAAAATCACCAATTTGCAACTCCTATCGTAATACTTGCTTCAAGCAAGGATCATTAGTGGGTGTGAAGTCGCCTGGTGAAAGCATGTTGGGGGATAGGAGATGCAGTCTCACGGTTTCTCCCCCCACCCCATGTTGTACCCTGTTCTCTGCTGACTTCGTAGTAGAATAAATTTTTATTTTATTTAAAAAAAACAAAACTGGGGCTGGCCCCGTGGCTGAGTGGTTAAGTTCGTGCGCTCCGCTGCAGGCGGCCCAGTGTTTCGTTGGTTCGAATCCTGGGCGCGGACATGGCACTGCTCATCAAACCACGCTGAGGCAGCGTCCCATATGCCACAACTAGAAGGACCCACAACGAAGAATATACAACTATGTACTGGGGGGCTTTGGGGAGAAAAAGGAAAAAATAAAATCTTTTAAAAAAAAAAAAAACAACTTTTTTTTTTCTTGTCTAGAGCCTGTGTGGTGCCCCTACCTGCTTGTTCCTAGGGCCTCCCTCGCCTTGAAAGCTTTCTTGTTACACCAGCCCTGGAATGGACAGTTTTCTTTGGACATTTCTCATGTGTAAGTTTTTTCCATTTTTGTTTTCCTTTCTTAATTTTCTTGGGGTTGTAGGACACCCATGAAAATCAGGAGTGGCCTGTACTGCAAGGAACCTGAAAATCAAGCTGAGGCAGAGGTGGCAGCCACACTGAAAGAATCCTGGTCTGCCTCTCATTTCCCTGCTGGGGCCTCATGAAAGTGGGTGTCTGGCAGCTGTGAGCACACAGGCTGCGTGGACCTCTCACAGTCTAAACATGGCTGTGGCATAATGACCATGAAGAGGGCCAGTTGAGGCCAAGAGGAATTGGGGCCAAGCTGAAAATTTTTTTTAAAAGCAGCAAAAATAGGCCTACTGCAGAGGTATTTTGTGTTTTATAAATCTCAATTCCTGCCTTATTGCAAAAAGATATTCACAGAAACTTATTAGTGGTTGTTAGTTAAACTCACAAGTGTCATTGAACTTAAGCCATGTGGAGTGCACAGGCAGGCATGGGTTGGGGAACAAAAAAGTAGTAATGCGATGAGGTGTCTATTCTCCAGGAATGAATGAATGAGAAAATGAATGAGAGAAAGGAACGTCCGTTTTGCAGAGTGGAATGAGCAGATTCCTTCAGTTATCACCAAGTTCCTTATTAACATGAATCTAAACATGGTAGTTTTTAGAACCCTCTGATAAATTTTCTGGTTTCTTGAAAGCCAGAGACACTGTCTTTACTCATTTCTTTGTTTTCACTAAGGTAGAAGCAGCTATTAGTGATAATTCTTGGGTTCCTGAGTAGACTGTTGGTATTTTGATCTATAACTAGGTTTTTAACTAAGGACTTCAAAGAGGTTATTTCTATATTACCACAACTTTTTCCCGGTGAAGAAATAAATGGTTATAAGTGAAGAGATAACTCATTCAGGATCTTTTCTGTACAGTGATTATCCAGAAAATGAAGAAATAAAGAATCTCCTTCAGGAGCAGTTGAATTCATTGTCTAAGTAAGCACTCCAACTATGTTTTATTAGAAGATGAGAATATAAGAAAGAAAAATATAATAATTTAGGCTTTTTAAAATTAAAATAAGTTGTGTTTTAGAAAATTCTAGTGGCCCAGAGAGAAACCATTCTATTCACAGAAGTTTATTTCCCTTTAGAATCTTTGTTTTGTAGAAAAAGTAGTTATTTAATAGTTACAGTGACAGAACATCTGTCTTCCACAAGTTCCGAAGTATCAGATGGCTCTGGTCTCGTGTCCGGGCAGGAGCAGGAGCTGTGGTGTTAGTGTCCTTGCAGCAGCCTGCCTCCACCACAGGTCCCCTGTGAAGCCTCAGAGTAGAGCACGCGCAGGGCGCTTCTTGTGTGCCGGCTTCCTTCTTCTAAAGTAGGCTCTCTGTGTCAGGCGCTGTGTGCACACAGTGCTGCCTAAGAAGTTAATGTGCTCTCTAGAGCCAAGAGCTTTTAAAAGTATGCATTGAGAATAATATTGCAAAGGTAGTAGAAAAATATGAGTCTACAAGAAGTTCTTGGTAAAACAATATATTTTTGCAATCTAGAATCTGTCACACATAATTATAATATTTAATAAATTAGCCATAATAGAATGTTTTATGGATGTCAAATTCAAAATAATTACTTGATTGTTTTCTGTATCCAAAGGTTAACATTTGTTTTTAAATGGAAAAGAATAGATTTAAAAAGTACCTTCCCTGCCCTGATTTATGAATAGTCTATATTTGGATGTTTTAGAACTATCAATTTATAAAAACACTGGCCTTTCTTCCTTAAATATTTTATTTTTGGAATAGTTTCAAAAATAAATTCTGAATGCATCCTCTCCATATACTATTCCTGATTAGCAAAATCATTTTATCAACAATGACGTTCTTGTTCCTATAATCAGATAGCTGTTCATATTTTGAAAAACATGAGTTTTTGAAACTGTTGCAAGAATGTAAACCAGAATCAGAGCCTCCCTCCCCTGTGGTGGTTGATGGTTCTACTTCCCAGCCTAGACACCCTCTGAGCCCTATGAAGCTTTTGTAATTTCAAGGTCATGGCAAAGTAACTTCTTTCCTGAGTTCTAAACATAGCCTTTGAGTGGAATTTTCCATTTCAAGAGTATATTGATTCATTTCCTTGTTTTATTGTTTGATTCAAAAGTTTTGTCTTGCTTTTGCCTGGCTTCCTGTCTGCAGTGACATAAAGAAACTCTTGCTTGATCCGGAATTCACACTCTTGCAGAGGTGCCTGCTCGTTTCAAGGTAACACTGTGTGAGACTTCTGTCTAAGAGACAGAATTTCAGGTTAACTTGTTTCTCTTATTAAGGGTTTTTTAGCTAAGACCAAGCAACTCTTAGATTTTGGAAAAATATATCAGTTCCTCCTTTAGATCTGACTTAGAATTAATTTTGAAAGTAGTAATAGGAATAGGAAAAAATTATATTTTAAATGTGAGCTCTAGAGCTTCCCTATTGAAAACAGTCCCTCCTACAGACAGCTTTTTAAAATGTGTT